TCAACAGAGCTCCGCAATTCTTCACGGAAAACTACAGAACACGTGTAGCAGTTACACTGCAGAGAAGACACATCCCGCGTCCTGCCTACGCTACAATAAACCAGGATGCACATATTTTGATCAGACGCCCTGGAGACACGTTGATACATTTTTCTGGCGATGAATAAAACTAGGGCCAGTCACAAAGGCTTGTTGACTGGAACGAGTGCAGGGGATTGCAAACAACATTTGTTTTCATTTGTGACCTTTGGAACAGAATGGATAGAGTTACACAACTGTTGAACATTTTGAACCCCGCCGCTTAGGCATCAACATCCCCAGTAGGCCGCGCTCCGAAGATCAACTGTAAAAAGTGATTACCAACTGATAAGGTGGAGCACGTTTGTTCCGCGGTGAATGTTCACATGCATGTGAAAGGGGTATATTAGGTGAGCTTTCCGGTCGTAATAATATGTCGAAGAAAACGCTGATATGTGACAAACGAGGTGGTGCGAGACCAGTAATAATGTGATACAGTGTTCCGCGGAATGGTTTTCACTCCAACAGATTTACCATAAGTTTCATTGAGTGTAAAGTATTGCTGGGAGCATCAGGTAGGCGCAGTCCCCGAGTTTCCGTCAACCTCATGATCTACTTAAACCCGAATCCCACTCTTTTCCGGAAATACACTCATCTGCAAATCAATTTGGTTTTCACGAGAGACTCAATTGAGCCTCTCATTTTTGATGTTCTCCAGCTGAACGTGCTGCACACACGCCGCCTCATCATTCAGTTCGCACGATATTCCAGATATCGCAGTATATTTTAATAAAGAAAACTACGCACATGGTTGCTGAAAACTCTTCGACAGCCCACCACCGTTTCCGCCCTTCCACTTGGAGCTCATCAGTTAGGCGCAGTGCCCGAGTTTCCGTCAGCCTTATGATCTACTTTTTCACGGGGGCCCAGACGGAGGAAAATTTCATGTACAGAGATTGACGCATCCTCAATGTCACCACCAGTTCGACACGTCCGGAAATTAGGTTAGTTGGCTGCTCTCACCAAACGGCTTAGCAACACACGGCCAGCGCAGTGGGCCTGAGAGTGTTCGCGACCGGAACACCAACATTGGCTGTGTGGAGTGAACAAGTGAACGACCATATTTGGCCGTTTAGTCATCCTATATATTTACGCAGAGGCTCTGTACGTTTTGTCCTGGCAATGCGGCCGTTTCGTCAGTTCTCTGTGTTCTCCCTATCGCGTAGTCTAGCAGGCTCAGTGCAGGCGTAACCAATGCCTCGGCACCACTACAAGATACAACATTGGCAGACGGGTGTTCACAATGACAATTTCATTTGATCGGATGCAGTCTCTCCTCAGACAGCAGCGGGAACAGTTTGAGCTGGCGCAGTTGAAGCTCATTGGGACACTCACTGAAAAATTGTCACTACAGAAGCCGATTAGCCAGACTATTGAGCCGTCCACTTCGGTGATCGACATGATGCTCAGCGGGATCCCTGAATTCCAGTTCGATCCGATCTCATGCATTACTTTTGATTCTTCGTTCAACAAGCATGAAGACTCTCAGATTGGATCTGGGAAGCAAAGAAGACTCTTGGAGAGCAAGACACTTGGTCAGGAAAATTGGAGTGGCCGAACATGAACGTTTTTCGAACTACATTTTGCCACGAAAAGCAAGTGACCTGAGTTTCGATGAAACCGTTGCTGTTTTATCGTCAATCTTCGGTGAACAAGCCTCTTTGTTCAGCCGTCGATTTCTCTGTATGAATTTGAGCAAGAATGCTTCTGAAGACTGGGTTACATACGCCGACAGAGTCAACAAGGAGTGTGAACGTTTCAACCTCCGAAGCACGACAGAGGATGAGTTCAAGTGTCTTATATTTGTGTGCGGGTTGACGTCTCCTGAAGACACAGACATACGAACAAGAATCCTCAGCAAGATTGAGCAGAACCCAGAAGTCACATTACAGAATATTACGTCGGAATGCCAGCGCCTGATGAATCCGAAGCGTGATACCGTCATGATACAAGAAAGTGATCCCAGCAATGTTGTTCATGCGATTCGGAAGCATACTGTCCCTCAGGGTGACAAGAAGCCACCCTCAGCATGCTGGAAATGTGGTGAGTGGCATTTCGTCAATTTTTTGTCCGTTCAGAAGACACCGGTGCAGCAGGTGCTCCAGTATGGGACACAAAGAAGATCGGTGTCATGACGAGAGAAGGCAAGAACCCAGGAGGTATTCGCGAACTAGAACTTCCAATTCCAAGCTTCCGAAGGCTCGCGTTGGTTTGGTCGCTCATCAACGTCCACAGGTGAACAGGAGGAAATACGTATCACTGCGTATTAACAGCACACCTGTTCGTCTTCAGCTGGACACGGCATCAGACATTACGATCATTTCAAAAAGAACTTGGAAATTTATTGGCAGCCCAGTACTAACCAGGACCAAACAAGTTGCACGCAGTGCATCTGGAAGTTTGCTGAAACTCTGTGGTGAGTTCAGTTGTTCTGTTACTTTTGACGATATCACCGTTAGTGGCATTTGTCATGTGTCCGATCATCCTGGTTTGGATTTGTTAGGATTAGATTGGATTGACAAGCTGAACCTTTCGGACAGGCCACTGAATACTATCTGCTACAAGACACAGGCGACGAAAGCGAACATATTCAAAAAACCACCTGACTCGTTTTGGATGAGAAACTCAGGAGGTCGCAGCCCGTGCACTAAGTCCTTGTCAAACCACCCTCAATCAAATGGCCAAGCCGAGAGATTTGGGGATAATTTTAAACGAGCACTGTTGAAATCTCGAGGGGAGGGACCAAGGTACTTTCTATCCCCAAAAGGGGGAAATGTCAGGCGCGCCCGGACAGAAGAAAAAGTACATGTGCAAAGAGTGACGCATCCCCAAGGTCACCATCGATTCGACACGCACGGAAAGTAGGTGAGTCGGCGGCTCCCACCAAGCACGGCTTAGCAACACACGACCAGCGTAGTGGGCCTGAGAGCGTTCAGGACCGGAACACCACCATTGCCTGTACGGAGCGAACTAGTGAACGACCATATTTGGCCGTTTAGTCATCCTATATATTTACGCAGAGGCTCTGTACGTTTTGTCCTGGCAATACAGCCGTGTCCCCAGTTCTCTGTCTTCTCCCTATCGCGTAGTCTGGCAGGCTCAGTGCAGGCGTAACCAATAGCTCGGCCACCCACTACCCAACAGTGTCGATTCATTTTCTTGAAATATTTTGATTAATTTGGGGATTTTTCCCGGGGTCTTCAAGTCACGGTTTTCCTGTCTTAACCTCCGATCAGAAACGAGACGATGCGGAAGGCGTTAAATTTGACTACAATACGATTCACTGCCAACCACGACCTTGGTCGACTGTTTATTGCTAAGTAAGTCAGGCTGTCCCGTTGGATACCGAATAGAGGGACCAATTTCATCGACATTGCACCAAAAGGATAACTCGAATACGTGCTAGAATGCGCATTTGTCCCAGCCACACGAGGGGCCTGGGTTACTCTTTATCCAAAGTCCCACGAAGTCAGCACGAAAGCCCGATAATCACGTTTGTTCCTGTGCAGAACTGTCCCAATGGTCATGGAGTTGGATCTTTTAGGTGGTGGCCTTATTAGTTGGATTATCCACAGCAGTACTGAAATAGAATAGTGCGGTGAAAGACACTAGATGAGGAGCAGCAATGATGCCAAGAATTGTAAACAACGGCACATCTGACACCGCATTTACCGAAAAACGCACAACAACCTGGATGTATCCAAATGAATTGTTTGTGGAAGCCAGTGCTGGGTCGAAACGAGTTAGACCAAACTCACACACACTCATGCACGGATTTCCGGCTTGCGAATCATGGACTTACGCTGGTCGTCACATTCCTTCACTTCCACATGCACAAGTTTATAATGATTAACGTATTTACAAATATAAGTGCCGGAATCTTGTGTGCCCAGACCAACAAGGGTGATCGACAGAGGAGTGTCATCGAAGTGGACCAGAATCGCTTCGCAGTTTGAACAATGTTGGACCAGACCTCTAATTGGGAAAAGAAAAGACGAGAAAGACATTGTTCGCATTGTATTGCACCAGGAAAATGGTAAACTATGTGCAGCTATTTGGACATTGAGAATGAAGAAACTCTACCGACTATCGAGTGGCTGATCTGTAGTGCGTGTGGCTGAATATTAGCTATCAGTTACCATTCGTAGGGCTGTTAGATCAAATCTACCTCGAGATTCGCAGTGTCTATTATCTGTAGTGATGAATTGGCCGTAGTTTTCTTTTGCTCAACACAGGTTGATAATAGCGGAGCGAAATCACGAGTGAAACCAAAAACTCTTATTGATTACGAGAAATGAATAATATACCCAGAAAGGGAACCTCAATCGGGGAGCCGGTCAACTGCAAGGCAATCGACCGGCTCTCTATGCCCGAATGGTACAGTGGTCAGCCACTATCCAGAGAGAAACTTTCGGAAATAATGGAAGGACGATTCTCGGAAAAAAAGCGGAACGGATTTACAGCACTTCGCTACTCTGTGGTAGAGTGACTTTGCTTTAGTGGTGAGAAACCTTCAAAGTTGGGTCGACGTTCACCAAGAATGCTCGTCCAAAATATGACAGATACAATAAAAGTACGGTTATCTCCGGGAAAGTTTAAATGCAGTATGTTTAAACAATAACGTAATCGACTGCAGAAACAAAGCTCTCTTAGTGCAGACAGGCATATCACGATTGTTGTTCGAGTTGGAAATGGAGCCGGATGTCTTTCCGTGCGTGTCGAATCGATGGTGACCCGGAGCCGGATAAACAAAAAAGACCACAGCAAAGTGGACAAAACAGGGCAGGCCCCTGTCAATTCGGGCAACATCGGTCTAGCTGACCATTGACGTTTTTTCCCGAAGCGTCTATCGACGCAGAGCCGCTTCTTGATTTGACCTTAGTCAATGGCGCTAACTAAATTCTATTGATGGGCAGCATTGCTAGGCTTTTCACGTCCAAGATAGCGATTCGAGTTGTCCTACACCTAAGATGTGTCCGCCAGTAGTATGGGCACGAGGGCTTGTTGTGCTCGAGAATGACAACCAACACATGAAAAACCCTGTGCTGATCGACCAGTGGGGCGAGTCGCATCGTCAATTTGCATAAGCGCCTGAATAGCGATGTCATACTCAGTCACCATACATGTTTTGGTCGCAGTAATTCACTTCTCTGTGGAAATTCTGCAATATTTCTAGCAATCGATCGTTCCGGAACCTACAGAAGACACTGCCCAGTAAGCCCTACACTAGCATTTCAGAGTGGAATAAAAAATATCTCTTAAAAACACGGCTATCGTGGCACATTCATGTGGACTTGGTGAATGAAATCTGAATATCATCAGCCTGTCCACGGTTCATTTTTTCTTGATGTCGACCGTAAATTTGGATACAGAAAGCAAGCGTGTGATCACTGGGTGCAAAAATCTGAGCAGTGCATCATCTGATGCATGCAGACAGTGATGTTATTGATAGTAGCGTCATCGGGTTACTCCACCGGTTCATGTCGACTGACTCCAAAACTGGGATATGACGAGGGCAATCACATCGTCACATCGTCTGTACTATTTTGCGATAAAGGTCCCGTTAGTTGTGCTTCTCTACGTTCACCAATATTGGAGTAGGAACTAAAGAGAAGCAATGAAAAAAGCTGCTCAGCTTTGAGGACGATTTGTTTGTACGAAGGGAGCACATTCAAACCGTTCATATTCTCTAATATATAATCTTAGTCAAGCGTTACCAAACTCCTGACCTCAATAATCACTCACCCGCTCTGTCTGAGGATAGTGATGACCTCCTCAGCCAGCATCTACCTGGGAGAAACGTGCCGTTCCAGGCAGTTGGAGTGAATCGATAGCTGGGCCACCTTTAAAAAAATGTACTCATAGCGGATGTGATAATCGGTTTGACACCCGTCTTAACAAGGCATTTAGCGTCACTGATAGTCCATCCACTTACGGGGGCATGGGATGGGAAATATTGACCGGGAGGCATCAAGCGGGACCTTGACCAGGTAGAGGTTGCATCGATCACATAATCGCACTGCTTCAGGTGTTAGGACAGTGTTTCCAACCACGCTTGCTTAACGGAAGATGCCCCAGAATTGGTGAACACAATCCGGTCCGTATATTCACATGCGCCCGGGCATGTGAGTGTACGAAGAGCTCTCCAAAAGCTTCGCTAAAAGTAGTGTTCGACTTCCCCGTCAATGTAACAACAAGGTGAATGCTGGAGAGTTTTCAAAACCCCGGTCTTTAAACCGCTGCTAGTGAAAATCTTGCCGAGCTGGAGTAAACAGACAACATCGTCCTAACTTTTGAAGACGAACAGAAAGCACAAGCACTGTTGAATAATCTGGTCATACTTCGGAATTTGCCTCGCACATTCAAACTGCAAAGTCATGCGTCAGAAAACTTCCAACACCGTCGACTGCGGTGGCTCAGTCACACACTGTGTATACCTAATCATGGTATTCCGAGACAACTGTTGTTCTGCGTGCCCTCTTCAGAATGATGCAACTTGTGACCTGTCATAAGGATGTGAAAGATATTACGAATTGGGTTCTCTGTGACTCTCCTCGCGCACAGTTGGTTGACTGACACTGTAAATACACATCAGTGAAGTCAGCAATACAGAACTCGTAATATCAAATGTCAACTAGCACATAAAAAACTGAATTACTAGTGCTTAGCCACAAACTGGACGACAGCCTTGAGCCACCAGGACAAATAGGGTCTTGCACAAAAACTTCGGTCAAAGATCTCCTGTTTTAGATTAATATTCGCTACAGCCTCAGTTTGTTTGACCGGATACTGTTGATCCCGAAAAATGACAGATTCGAGAAAACACTCTCACAACATGGCTCACTCGAATGAACACTGGATCCACATCAAAGCATCCATCGAGCAGGCAGTACGATGATCGATTGGAATGATCTTCTAATTTTGGACCTAAATACCAGACTTCAAGCTCTGAAGCCAAGCCCGGTAGCTGACAGTGAAGTGTCAGATTCCCGCGCAAACAGGCAGTAGGGCTCAGTAGAAAAAAATGGAGATCTGGGATCTCAGCTGGTCGGAGGGAAGCAAAGTTCAGGACAGGAGGGTGGAGACTGGAAGAAATGTTCGGAGATTCGGTCGAAGTGAAAGTAGGCTTGGTGGGTTCAGTGGGTTCGGTGGCATTGTGATCCAGTACCTGGAGGATTAGATCTGCAATGTCGTACACGGCTAAGGCTTCAAACCTAGGCCGGCGACATTCGGAAATCGGGTGTGGATCTTCACTGGAAGGAAAACAATAAAAAAACCGTCAACAAGTCTAATCTAGGATTGTAAAAAAACGAGGAACAAGTGAAGTATTGAGTTCCACATCGGAAAAAAAGGCTTCAGGTTGTTTTAAAGAACGTTGACTCAGACGTGACTAGAGGATAATCACTGGGAACTTTCCCATCTGGACTTGTTGGAAAGTGACCCATATCAAAATGCGCACCCATTAGATGAAATATCGATATCGACCAATCTTGCATAGAACTGCCTATTCATGATCCAATACGCGAACGCTACTTGAGTCTGGGACAACCCAAACACCACTAGGAGCAAAGTTACGACAGCTGGTAATGTATGATCTTACAAAAATTCCAGTTTGCACAAATACGTTATTCATCAAATGAACGAAAGCATTCGACGTGGTTTTGGTGAGTTTTCTATTGTTCTGTTAAGAGCGGTGCACCGTACTCTCCGGTGGTCAAAAGCTTTAGCTGATGGATATTATTCTGTACATCCCAAGGGACAAACTGAATTTACTCGAAGAGAGAGAGGCTCTGTGTTTAAACATCGTCAGCACCCTACCGGAATAACTCCAGATGCAGGAAAGGACATTCTAAATATGAACTTGAGAGTGGGAGACAGTTATTATGAAACAACCATAAGGTCAGAAAACAGAACCCAAAATAGACCAATCGAGTGAATTTCACGTTCACCATTAACCTAAAATATGCCTTAGGACTAAATTCAGTGTGATTCAGTCAATCAGTTTGTCCTCAAAACACCAGCCCCTATGATGTAACCCGGGTTGACAGGTTCTAGGGAAGTGTTCTTTTCAAAAATTTACTCATGCGAATATAAGACAAATTCAGCCATCACAATGTAGCTACCCTCTTCAGAATAATCAGGGCCATGATAGGTCACAATTACTTCAGATAAAACGTAGACAATTAGCGCTAATCATGCTACAAAGTTACACTTACATAACCTTAAAACTTTCGTATACGATAAAATTGGTCTGGAGTACTGATGCGTTGGTCAAAGTGCAACTTTTGACTACACACATGAATTCGGCACCTGCTGGAAGTCTGTGGATGGTGTAGGAGGCCCGGTAACAAGTTCCGTTCAAAACACGCTGAGTTTCCTCGGGAGAATTGCAATCAAATTTTTGTGGCTGACGAGACTGGAACGAAAAGATTGAAGATTGCGATTAAAATTACCACATCAGTGAGAAAGATACTGCAAATCATCGCATGGAGCAGTTGCAAACAGCGTAATCTAAGTTGTGCTGTATGTTCAATCAAAAGAACTGCCCAAGCTGAACCAATCTGACAATTGAAGCATGAAAAATTTCATATTGCGCTTCGCGGCGATGAAAAGAGAAGTACACTGATAGCCCAGTTTTCTCTCAGGATGCTATTTCGTCCTATGAGAGGCGGAAATTAAACTTGAGGCGCCTCATCAGATTACGTGAGATTTCGTTCGGTTTGTTTCGAAAAACGTAAGCTGAACATTAGATAGCAGCACATGAATGTAGCCACCGGCGCACATCTAGACAGACTTCTTCTGTGATATTAAAGAAGCTATCGTAGTTTGGCCACTGATTTGCACAAAACGTAATTCTGGAGGATTACAAACTGATGGCAAGCTGATGGTCTAGCAGACGCTAATTCCATACTCCACCAATGAGTGTACATGCTGCCCGTTACACAGAATTGTGATAGGACCGTATTTGATTTGAGCTTTCGCATCTGGATGAGGAACGGTAATGTGAGGTAAAGTTATGCTCTCCTTAGGTGTGTCTTTACGATAGAACGTCCTTTGAAAGCAATTAGGCATAAAAAGGTTCTTGATTGCCCTTCACAAGCCTGATCATATACCGTAATCAAGGAAGCGATGGCGCGGTGTGCGCCATTCTGAGGAAGGCACGGTGAACAGGTCGTCTCGCTAGACGGTGTTTCCGCATGCGTAGAACATGGCCCAACCACCGAAGTTGATGGCGCCGGATGCTCTCGGCGATCGAAGTATCTGCTGTACAACCAAATACACGTTCTTTAATCACCTCGTTACTAATCCGTTGACATCCAAAAAGGAACGGTAGAGGTAAAGTTATGCTCTCCTTAGGTGTGTCTTTACGATAGAACGTCCTTTGAAAGCAATTAGGCATAAAAAGGTTCTTGATTGCCCTTCACAAGCCTGATCATATACCGTAATCAAGGAAGCGATGGCGCGGTGTGCGCCATTCTGAGGAAGGCA